CCCGGCCTGTTCCTGACTCTGCTTCTGTCACCTGCTTTTGTACCACATTGACCACACGTTACCGATCTGGCTTGTCCCTGACTACGCCTCAGCCTCTCACACAAGTGTCGTCTGATCTGCCATCGACCACCAGCTGCCTCTGGCGTCCTGTGGTCAGCATCAGCACATCCAGTGTGTTCAGCAGTCATACCAGCCACAGGCACTCGTGACCCTCTCTGTCTGTATAACTACTGTTCCATCTCCAGTGGGGCTCAGACGAGAGCAGCAAGGGAAGGCCTTCCTCATCACTTCAGGCTCATACCAAGGTACGTGACACCCGGCGATAAAAATAACATATGCAGCAATATCTTGTGATAATCTTGTGACGAGCGTGCGGGGCGCAAACACGCGTGGGACCGAGACATGCAGGACCAGAGTCAGGAGGACGGAGGACCAACGGAGAATGGGGGGACCGGTGCCCGGAGACTGACGACCGGTGATCAAGACCAAGCAGAGGATCGAGTGGACAGGCCGGAGGAGCGAGGCGAGGAGCAAGCGAGCAAGTGGTGGAGCTGTGATGGACGTACAGACGATGGCTGATTAAAGGAGAGTGGCGAATTAGATGGCTAAAAGTTAGTGATTGGGAAGGAGGGGGGTGAGGGAGTAGGGGGTGAGTGGTACTAGGGGCGGGCAGGGTGATTGATTGGCTCTGGTGGAGGGCGGTATAGAGGAGGAGCAGGATCCCGAGGTGGGCAGTTGGGTTACCGTTAGAAGGCGGGGTAGAGGGAAGAGTGCGAGAGAGGCCAGCCCTGAATTGATACACCCCAATAAACATGTCAGGTTGCAGGATGTTGGGGATATTAGTGCAGGTGAGGCATTGCTGGAGCAGGACGTCTATCCTATCCGCAGGGGGAGTGACTGTTCCAGCAAGGATGGGATCAGGATGGAGGGAAAGGAGAGACAGATTTTGGTGGTGGGGGATGCTATCATCAGATCAGGGCAGCCATCAGAAATATTTTGGGGCCCCTTACACAGCTTTAGGCAGGGCCCCCCCCCAGGGCCAGATTAAGAGCACCACGGGCCTGGTGCTGGCTGCAGCGGTCTGTGTTCCTTTCAATCCCTGCTGCTCTCCTGCCTCTATCGGCAGAGACAGTGAGAACACAGACCACTGCACCTGGCACCAGCAGGGAGGAGAGAATGTCACTGCATTCCCCCGCTGCTCCCCCTCGTACCTCCGCTGCTGCCCATTCCACCTTCTCTGCCCGCCTTGTTCCTCCTTCTTTGGCCACCCCGTTCCTCCTTCTCTGGCCACTTCGTACTCTTCTCCCCCGTTCCTCTTTCTCTTTTGGCGGTGTTCTATCACCGGTGTCAAGTCTCTAATCAGCGGCTGGAAACAATAGCCAGCCTGCTATTGTATATTTTAAATTGTAATAGCAGGCTGGCTATTGCACCCGCCCACTGCCGGCTGTCAATCAGCAGAAGAGGACCCGATGGAGAACTTTCTCCTTCAGTTCCCTCCTCTGCTGATTGACAGCAGGCTGTGGGTGGGTGCCATAGCCAGCCTGCTATTGCAATTTAAAAAATCCCATAGACAGCGGCGTATTGTTCCAATAGCAGGCTGGCTATTGTTTCCAGCCACTGCCTGCTGTGTTGACATTCAGCTTCCTTAGCAGCTGAATCCAGTGAAGGGGAAAGGTTACACTAGGGGTCTAAAAGACCCCTAATGTCACCTTAAAGAGAACCTGTCACCTCCAATGTGCCATCACATAGGGAGCTTTTTTTAAAATAAAAGTTAAAAAAAATAAAAAATTACTCCAGGGATATATAACGAAATGAGTTTGGAAATGCTAGAAAAAAGCTTAAATAATACATTACACTGAACATTAAGGATGGGAAGCTGGCCAATCAGGAAGCTGGGCGCCTCATGACGAGGGAGCATGGAGCCGGCTTCCCAGCCAATCAGGAAGCCAGGCACCGCGTCATTACACGGCACCGGGCTTCCATGATTGGCTAGCAGGCCGGCTCCATGCTTTCTCGTCACATAGTGACGAGAAGCATGGGGACGGCTTCCTTGCTAATTGGGAAGGCGGGTGGCGAGTCTTTACACACCGCCTGGCTTCCTGAATGGGAAAACAATATCGGTACTCGGTACCGAAATACCGGTATCGGTGCATCCCTACTAAAAATAAACCTATTCGATTTTAGTCGACTAAAACAAAAATTAATCTGATGACTAAAATGCAACTAAAAATAAAAATTTATTTTCGTCAAAAGACTAAGACAAAAATGAAATTTGGTGCCAAAATTAACACTGCTCTTAAGGGACCAGTGCAGTCTCTCAAGGGGCTAGTGTGGACTTTGGGTGGTCAGTGTGGGCACTGGGTGGTGGGTTGCGGTGGTCAGTGCGGGCTCTGGGCGGTCAGTGCGGACTCTCGGTTGTCAGTATGGGCTCTGGGTGGTCAGTACGGAGGTCAGTGCGGCCTCTTGGCGGTCAGTGCGGCCCCTGGGCCGTCAGTGCGGCCCCTGGGCCGTCAGTGCGGCCCCTGGGTGGTCAGTGTGGCCTCTGGGTGGTCAGTGCAGAGGTCAGTACAGCCTCTGGGCGGTCCATGCGGCCTCTGGGAGGTCCGTGCAGCCCCTGGGCAGTCAATGCAGAGGTCAGTGTGGCCTCTGGGCGGTCGGTGCGGTCTCTGGCCGGGGCGCAGCGCGGCCCCTGGCCAGTCACCACAGAGGTCAGTGCGTAGGTCAGTGTGACCTCTTGTCAGCCAGTGTGGCCTTTGGGCGGTCATTAATTTAAAAAGTAAAGATCCACACAGTGTGTCTGCCATAAGGTTGCCACCTTTTTTTCTAATGAAACCCGAACACTCACGCGACGCCTGGACATTTTTTTGGGAGAATGAGTGGTGGCTTATTCATATATAAATAGTGATGGCATTCATATGTAAATATCACAGTTGAGACTATTTTCAGTGGGGGGACAGTAGCCCCTATCTTAATTTTGGTTGCCCCTGTCTGCCTGACATCTTGTGTCCGGGTTTCT